CCAGAAGCGTCAAGGAATAACAAAGGAGCAAGTCCAAAGTGGAATGGCGAAGGTGGAGGCCAAAGGAGGATACGTGCTCGATATTCAATAACCACATGGATGAGAAAGACAAGGGACCAGTGGTGGGATAATAATAGCTAAAAATACTCTAAAATAGCTATTGATATGGTTAAAATTGCCTCTTACTAAAAATTATATGATTTTATGATCCAGAACTTAAAACAGCTATTAAAAAATATTTTAATTTAATATTTCTATTTTAGATCACATATTAGCTTGCGAAATAAAACTTTGCTGCTTAAAACGCTTTAAAATTGGCTTCATAAATTCTCCAAAAAAGTCTTGAAAAATTAAGCAAATATTAAGAGGTATGACCAATAAATATTTTTGGAATTCGAAAGCCTTGTATTAGTAAAACATTTTTAATTATATTTTAATTATATAATATTTCATACATCGTAACCATTAAGCAACGTTAAGACTGTAAGAAAAAGCAAAACAATCCGAAAGCTAGAACACAGCCAAAGTGCGAGCACTGAAGCGGCCATGTCGATGGGACTCAATAAAAAATTGAATTGAACATTTCCGGGTGGACAACGCTTATGGCAACCGTGTGGGCAACCGGACAACGGCCCATGACTGACCCATTCAATTAAGCATGAAAAAAAGTTGTTGAAAAAAAATTGGAGGAGTGGGTGGGGGGTGGAAGGCGTGGCCGGGGAGGACGTGGCCCGTCTAGTCCATAAAAAAAGGACATCACTTAAGGAGAAACTCGGACAGTGGCCGCAACAAAACACGCATCACTTGTCACACATACTTAGCAGACATGGGCGTGGGCGGGAGAAAGGGGACGGAAATGCCCCCCGCACCCGTTGAGAAAATGAGAAAAAATCCCCCTCCGTCATGTCCTGGTGTTGTTATTGAGGTGTAATACAATTTTTTGCCATGATACCCCATAACAATGGCTGAAACAGAAACAGAGACAGAAGAGGCCGTTCTTGGTTTCATTCTTTTTTGGACATTTGGCGAATTGAAATCTCCAAATTATCGAGATAAGATAGATCTTAGTGTATTCAATTGTTGTATACTTTGTATGATATTTTTATATTTTAAAAATTCTTATCAAAATTAAACCATACATATATCTTAAATCTGTTCTTCCTTTCACTCTACCAGGAGTTTTGGCAAACTAAAATCAACAAATTTGAGCTTTGGCGAATTTCTCAAGCTGTGATATGTCCTAATTTGATCAATAAGTGTTGACTTTTTAAGATATTTCAATACTTTAATGTATATATTTTATTTCAAAAAACATCTTCAAATATATTAAAAAAGGTTAAATTCATCTTTCGCCGAGAATCTGCGTTCTGGAACATCCCCAAAGTCAGTTGCAGACTGAGAAATCGAATCAGAAAAGGTTAACGAGTCCTGGGCACATATGGTAGCATTAGTTTGGGATCCAGGATCCAGTATCCGGATTCGGGGACGAGGGGCATCCAATCGTGGACAACGCATAAACTTGCAATTGAGCCAATTTGTAAAAGTGCGGCAAGCCCATTAAGATGAGGTCCTGCCAGTCGGGTCCTGGCAATCGAACGGCGGCCAGGACACCTGCTCCATCTCCATAGCCACCCTCATAGATATATATATATATATATCCCAGATAGCCCCCTAACAAGGGAAACTTTTGTTGGGCATCTACTTTGCATTACAAGCGCCCACATTAAAATTAAAATAAAGTTTTCCTGGGGATATATCCCTTTCAGTGGCGTCCAGTCCCTTGCTTTTCGGTTACTCTGCTACTTTCTCTTTTCCCCCTTTTCTTTTTCCCTTTTCTTTTTTTTGAGGAACTACAAATAAATCTAAAACTCGCACATTTCTGATGGATGCTTACACTTAAGCTCACACACAAGGACACAAAGGATACGGGTCGGCCGCAGTTGGCCATTCGCAGTTTTATTTTTGCATTTACATCAGCCCACATGCATTATGCATACGTACTTATGTACACGGAAATACATAAATACATATGTGCGAGAAATCTATCCTTCTGTGGGGAAATGGTCCTCTTCATACACTTTCTTTCCCTTAAAAAACGTACAAAGAAAGAAAATTGAAGAGCAAATCATATGCAAGTCCAACTTTAGCTGTGGGAAAGTTGAAAAATATTCGGAAATATAAAATGAAAAATTAATCAGTAATAGAATTCATAGAAGGATATCCAAAAGAGCATTCGAAAGAATCGTTTCTGGCACTCACATTTGAGCTTAACTTCGCATTTCTTGTTGAATTTCATGTTAAGTTGCGTTCTTTGTCCCTTGTTTGATTTCCTTTGGCCAGGACTCACTTTGGACTTTAAAACAAAGGGGCAAAAAATAAAAATAAAGTATGCAAAGAGCAAAAAGCGAAACAAAACAGAGCTAAGGGCACAAAGGATGCAAAGGATACAATAATATCCTTAAGCTACGAATGCAACATGAATTTGTCTTTGCTCGACTGGACTTCTCGACCTTTTCCCTCGTCCTGCTTCGAGTTGCCTTGGCGAGGCCAGAAAAAAGATAAATAAATGTTCAGCCATACATATGAGGAAATGAAAAAAAAAAAAAACAAGAAAGGAAATAAAATAAAAAGGATACTCGAACTTTACAAATGCATGCACATTAGAGAGATTTACATGTGTGAGGAGAGAGCAGGGAAATCAGGGAAAGCAGGGAAAGCAGGGAAAGCATTCACATGCGACGCATAAGATTACTACCCACACACTCGAAAAGCCAACGTCCTTTGGTCCTTTTTGCATTTGCCTTTGCCTTTTGCTTCGACACTTATTTTAATTTATTTCATTTTCATTTATGTACAACGCTTCAAATGTCCTTTTCTGCGTTGCCCTCTGTGTCTGTGTGTAATTAAATAAAAACTACCTTAAAGCCTCACCCATACACTCGCACCTCGAAGGATTCCACTTTTCCATCAAGCTTTTACTTTAATTGCCCAAAAAACAGAAAGATATATGTTGGATATATTTCTTAAGGTATAAAGCTATATGCCTCGGAAAGTTTTTAAAAATTAAAAAATATCCATATAGTTCTGAATTTTAAAACAATAAATTAGAAAGTAAAAACTGAAGTTGGGAGTTGCGTGCCACTACTTTCATTTACCCGTCATTCTGTCAAAATAATTTTAAAATAAATATGCTAGTAGCAGGAAACGTTATCTGTAATTTTGATAAAGGAAAAACCAAAACGGAAAACACAGCCCTAATGTATATTTATAAACCGACGGGGAAGTCAGTGTCCTTGCAAGGCTTTTTGAGTTTATTTTGGTTTGCATTTTAAATTATTTCCGATATATCCGATTAAGAAAATTGTTTGTAAGTCGAAAGGTATTAATGGAAATATACAATATTCGAAATTAAAGAAAACTTTAAACTTTGAAAAGACGACCAGAAGCGACTACTTACTGCATGGTGTAGGTCAAAGAGAACTAAAGAAGTCCTGCAGATTTCATACAGAAATCTAATTCCTTGCTAAGCTTTGGGAAATTATAATTTTTATATTGACAAGAATAGATAGAAATTTAAGCCCTAAAACCTTAACCACTGAATACGTTCTTAAAATACGCCATGAAGGTTGGCATTTTTGATTTAAGACCACTTTCTCTTGCTGTTGATGGCCTATAAAAATATATCGAAAATCTATCTTTTTTCTGCATATAACGTTATTTCGATTAATTATTTTAAAAAAGAGAATTTCTTTTTATACAGCCTTAGAATTTTCTTCTCTCTTTAGTATGATTTTTGTATTTCTCAGAACTACGAAGTAGGTTTGACTTAGAATGACTTTACTTAGCAATGAATACTTTTCGTCCATATTATAAGTAGTGACTCCAAGTCGGTGGCGTAAGTTATTGCCATACTTAACTCAAAAATATCTATAATATTCGTTGCGAATGTTGCTATGTATATTTGTAACCATCGATGTCGGATCTCTTTAAATTGGCATTACGAAGTTGTAATTATCTTTATTTAGTTTCTGTTCCAGCTAATATTCGGCCGTTCCTAAGAAGTCTTAGAAATGGCAGGAATATGGTCATTGGTCTTGAAATCATTATAAGCCATTAATAACTCGATGTTTGTCAGGCACCCTGTCCGACGATTGTTCTTCAGTTGTTTTTAATCCTGGTAAGGAATTTTCAACATACATTATACACCTTTACGCGTATAAAAGTAAGTTAAAATGTTGCCTAATTAATCAACTATAACAGGAAATACTACCGCCATCTGGCTACCGGAAGTCTATTTAAAATACGCTAGAGGGCGGTCTTTTTATTCAAGTGAAATGTTATGACTATTTTATAAGCCTTACTTAAATTTTCAAAAATATACGAGAGATAAATAAGCTAAGTTAAATGAATTAATTTTTTGGCCGTAATTATGGGACTTGACATTGTTTTTCTAAGTGGTTCTTATATGTAACCTCCTTAAAAAACGGTTTTTTTACATTAATATATAAGATTCTTAAACGCACTACATGGTGCAACCAGTCTACCATCAGTCTCCAGCAGATTTCTTCTTAAAGGAGATTTTTCCAGTGTAGCAAAAGCGCCCCCTGTAAAAATGGGCTATAAGCAACTTAAGCAATACATTTAAGCATCCTCCACCAGTATTTTCATATGTCCCGTTGCACATCACTAGAAATAACTTATTTAACCAACAATCGATAAGCTTCCTGAAATTCTTTTCTCCTAAAATCGATTGGCCGCAATTCAGACAAAAAAATTACATTAGAATAGTTATACAAATTTTTTTTCTTTTCGGATCTACATACTTGTGTTTTTATTTTATGAACTATGAAGAGAATAATAGAATATATTTAAAGAATATTTGTAGTGGGAAAGCTGCTTAACCATCTGGTAACACCTATCGATAGGCTTGTGCAAATATCGGCTATTAGTAAAAACAGCTGTTATCAATTGATGATATCGGGAGAAAAGTAATAAAAATATACCGAATCTACCACCTCTAAGAATAGGGTTAAAAAAAACAAGACAAGTTTGTACTTGAAAAGTACGGCGTATATCCACGGCGAAGAACGCAACCACCCGCCAAGTGAACGACCGATGCAGAACCGATCCGCCGAGGATTGAGTCCGGAATCCGGAGGAATCCCGGCGAGAATGTGATGTGCGTACTGGCCTGTCTCCGCTGGTCGATATAAACTCGTGCCCCCGTCTATTCTCCGCTCTCCCGCTGTCCACCGCCCGCTCATCCTCCTCCACAGAGTCCCAACTCTCCAAAGCAGCACTCCTCCACCTGGAAAATCGGCTATAGTTGAACGCTTCCCGAGAAGCACTAGTGGAGACACCAGGAAACCCGCCAATCACCTAGCAGCCGAGGCAAGATGTCGGGAATTTGATGTACCAGAAACTCGGTTCACCAGGGAAGGTATCTAACATCTTGGCAGGAACCTGGAACGAAGTAATATTGACTAGAATCCAGGATTCCAGGAGTATTGGCAAGGAACCCTAAATCCTAAGGAATCTTGGAAAGTAGCAGGATTAAGAAATCAAAAACCTCAGGATCTAACAAGGGGAACCAAAAGCCGTGCCACGGATTCTTGGTCAGTGACCTGAAACTAAGCAATATAGGAAAAAAATCGAAGGACCAGTTCATCTTCGAGAATAATTTAATTTCTTTAAAAGAAATTTAAGGACGTTTGGGAGAAAGGGAACGATCGCAATACTTAAGCAACCTGAAGGTAAAACCATAAACAGAGAACCCCTGAAGACAAATCTTCAACCCAGAAAGCTGAGAAACAAAAAATTGTATCTGACCACCCAAGCAGGATCATCAGGATCCTAAGGATCCCAGGGAGATGGCCACCGCATCTCTGGACGCACCGCAGGCAGCCAATGTGGACTTCAGCGAGCTAACATTCCGAGAGGTGCGAGTCAAGTCAAAGTTCTATAGTTCTTAACACTATCATAAGTTATAAACTGCAGGGACCGGAATTTCTGTGAAAAAACTTGACTTGGATACAAAAAAAACATAATTTGTCATGCTACTTTTAAGATAAACTCTGTTTTAGGCAGAAACATGGCACATGCTTGATTAGTCGTACGATTAGCCAGTCTGTTGATAGAAATTCCGCCAAAGCAAATTAGGAATTTATGTTTGTTTTTAAAAAGTTTTTAGTCCGTTTACATTTTCACTTAAATAACTTAATCACCAACTAAGCCCTATCATTAACTACTCCCTGCTGTTTCCCAAAGCGGATGTTGCTATATAAATATTTGATTATTTAAAATGAATTGATAAGGAATCATAATTAGTTTGAAAGGAACCACTATTTGTGTGCTTCTGATAAGACATTCAAATTACAAATGTTACTTCATTTTCAGATCTATTCCTTTATTACTCTATAATTTTAATAGTTCATTTGATAACTGATAAGACATAGAAGCCCTAAACATTGAAATCTAATACTTCTGCCTATTTCTCCCCTTAGAAAGTCGGCCATGGGTCCTACGGGGTTGTCTGCAAGGCGGTCTGGCGCGATAAGCTGGTGGCCGTCAAGCAGTTCCTCCACACCGAGGAGAAGGACATCGTGAAGGAGGTGAAGCAGCTGTCGCGCGTGAAGCACGTGAACATCATCGCTCTGTACGGTACATCCAAGTACCAGCACGCCACCTACCTCATCATGGAATACGCCGAAGGTGGATCCCTGCACAACTTTCTCCACGGAAAGGTGAAACCGGCATACTCTCTAGCCCACGCCATAAGTTGGGCGCGTCAATGCGCAGAGGTAGGTCGCCATACACGAGCGGTTATCATAGGGCCTAACCCAGAGTTCATAGTATCCATGGGTTGCTTGGAAACTTTTTATCTTTCATTTATTTAAAATATGTTTATTTGGATATAAAACAGCTGAAGACTCAACTAAATTTTCCTTATAAAATTACTGAAATTGAATGTATTTTGGGATATAGTTGCATAGATTTATACTTAAAACAATGCTCATTGCTCAAACCTTATGTTTGTTCCTTCTCAGGGCCTTAGACACTTACATGGCATGACACCGAAACCCCTGATCCATCGCGATGTTAAGCCGCTGAACCTGCTGCTGACCAACAAGGGACGCAATCTAAAGATCTGCGACTTCGGCACGGTGGCCGACAAGTCAACTATGATGACCAATAATCGTGGCAGTGCCGCTTGGATGGCCCCCGAGGTCTTTGAAGGCTCCAAGTATACGGAGAAATGTGACATTTTCAGCTGGGCCATAGTGCTGTGGGAGGTGTTGTCTAGGAAGCAGCCTTTCAAGGAAATCGACAATGCCTACAGCATTCAATGGAAGATCTTCAAGGGTACGTCATCCAATAAGGCTGACCTGAGCTTTTGTTTTCAATGAGTATTGTCTTGGTTTTCAGGTGAACGTCCACCGCTGCTCACGACCTGCCCCAGGCGCATAGAGGACCTAATGACCGCATGCTGGAAAACGGTGCCCGAGGATCGCCCTTCGATGAATTACATAGTGGACGTTATGAACGAGATCGTCAAAGACTATACGGGAGCGGACAAGGCCATAGAATATACGTTTGTTAATCAACAGGTGAAGTTAGCTTCCTTTACTTGGACTCGATTTAAAATAATTTAAAAACTATGCTTATGAACATAGCTTAGTTGTATAGGAAGTTTCAAGTTCAAAACATTTATAATGTCAATTATTATTATTAAAGTTATTAATAGCTTTGAAAAGAATTCACTTAAAATACCTAGTTCCTAAAGTAGTTCAAATGTTACCAAGCTGCAATTCTGTAGCCTCAGAAAGCCTTAAGCGATGTTCCTCAGTTTAAAACATATCCATCTCTTTTCATCTGAAAATCTATTTAAGTTGACTATTTAATCTATATAGTTTATATAAGTCTAACTTTTGATCCTTAAATCCTTTTTAGGTTGTCACCAAAGAGAGCGACGGCTCGGTGGCCGCTCAATCGGATACCCTCAGTTCGCAGGAGGAGGATGAACTGAGCCCCTCGTCCACACAGTTAACACCGACAACGGCGTCCAACGCCAATGTGAACGCGATAGCAATAACAGAAACAACGACTAGCTCAATGACCGAAAATACCTCATCAACATCATCGGACATCACGCCGACGAATTCGGGCCAACTTGACAATAATCGGCTATTCCATGTGGTCAGCAATCGCTGGGACGCGATTCCCGAAGAGGATAGCAACGAGAGCCGGAACGATAGCTTCAACCTCACCTCGTCGGCTGAGGCCACTCAGCGCTTGGAGACGATCCGAAACGGGATGATCCAGATGGCCTGCCAGCCCATGGAACAACTCCACCTCGACGTGGAGGCTGTGAGTCTATTGATAGCTATAAATTTCATATTGATAACGTATAGTTTTTGTGCTTTAGATTTGTTTTTTATAAACATAATAAGATTCCTGAACTGAACCTTATATTTGCCAAAGCTTATAAATTTTCTTTAATTTCGTTTTTCCTCCAGAATGGCTTTGATCTGAGTCGCAACGAGAGCAGCAGCGGCAGTACGCACGGTGAGTTCACTTAGAGAAAAACTATACATAAAAGCATTTGATTCTATAAACCCACCTGCGTCCGTTTGTTTTCCGACGATTTTACGATTTTCCGATTTTCCGTCGTCTGCCGTGAATCACACGCACATTGGGGCGTCAAGTTGAGAGACACAATGGCGTGGTCTCGATTTTATATAATTCCATTTAATAAAATCAGAATGCCTCTGGCCGCTAATTTTCTGTTTATCTTTTTTAATTCCTTAGGGAGATATCTTCGCAGTTTAATTATCAAACAAATTTAAGTGATTTTTCAAATTTATTTTTTTTAAACATATACTTTTTATATGGGGCATACAATTTGGTTTTTATTTATATTTATTCCACTATTTTTGAAAACTTTAAATGGCCTTCCTTGTTCCGCTTTGCCATAAAATAGTATGAATACCAAATAGTAATACTTTAAGAAAAAAACTTTAATGTTACTAACTAATTTTTTTATTAATTAATTAATTAATAATTAAATAAATATTTTAATATGCATTTTAAACACGTTGGGACTGAGGTATCTTAGTATCACAGTTGATTTTATTCACATTTAAAATAAAATAAAGATAGTTGTTTAGAAAAGTAGAAAATATTAATTTTAGATACATTTTTTTTCAATGCTATTTCCAATAACTAATATTAATTTTACATAACGAATATTATATGTAGAAAAATAAGGAACTTATCATCTTAATTTATTTTCAAAACCTCGCATTAGGGTATCCCCAAGTCGACTACATCATTTCATTAGATCTCCGCAGGTCACTCTTACTTGATCCTCGCAGCTTGACGCATTGTGTCGACTCTTGTGGCACGACAGCTGTTGGATTTTGGCCCGTTGGCCACTTGGCTATTTGACTATTTGGCCATTCGATGTTGGCTTTTAGCCGCAGGTGACGCATTTTGGCCGTGTGTAAACAATGCACTAGCCATCTCTGTCCCGCAGCCCGCAGTCCGCAGTTTTTGTTAATTAGCCGCCGCGGTGTTTGTGTTTAATGCACGAGGAATCTCTTCAACATTATTCAATTGTCAATGTCTCTGGCCGGGCGGCTGCATAAATTATAAATATTTAGTGCGCTCATTCGGATCGGCGATCTCATAACGATCAGGGCATATATAGTTGCGAATTTTTGGTGCTTAAACTGGGAATTTATTTGGTTTTCTTACATCCATTTTTAAGCCAAAAAGGGAAAGCGAAATATAATCAAGAAAAATCGATTTTTTTATAAATATTTTAAAATTGTATCTTAGAAAATTAAATTTAATATTTAATATTTTATCAAATTCAACAAATTTTGTTTAATATTAACTAATTTTTAATAATAACTTTTCATAAAAGAAAGCTTTAAAAAAATACCTGTAAAATAAAAATCTAAAATAGTATCTTTCTATAGTAGCTTTATCAAAATAGCTTTTTCAGGTTAATATAAGCAATATTTATGTACATTTTTACAACTTGACTTGAAACCTATATACCCCTTGCCCCACCCAGGGTATCGCTCCCAAATAGTTGCACAAAATTTCGCTGCACAATTAAATAATTTGTAATTTGTTAGCCTGGTAATTTTGGGACAGATTTATAGCCGAAGGCATGCTCCGTCGCTGCTGGCCGGCGAGCATAAACAACAACACCCCGTTGAACGGGGGTGGGGGCCTGTTGGGGGCTAAGATCGGGGCAGATATAGGAGGAGTATGGGAACGCACACATGACGATGCGATCGCCACGGACTTTTGAGCATCGGCCCCAGCGAAACATGACTCACCCGGCAATAATCTCACTATTATTTCGATTTCGTCTATATGGCACACACACACACACATACACATATACACACTGGGTACAACTTATATATAGATCGGGGCATATAGCGAATATATGTGCGACGGGCGATTTGTATAAACGGTGGGAGCCGTCGAATCGAGTGGCCAAATCTCACTTGGCTCTCGGTTGACACAGACGGACGAGATCTCGGACTTACATATCCCTCATATATCCCCCGACCGACCATATGCCCACCGATTATATAGAATGTATATTTGGTATAGAGAGCCCATGTAGCGGGGTAGCAATGTGTAAATAGTAAATGCATCAACGGCCAAGTCGAGATACTTTTTGGCTCTCAAAGTTCTGGGAGTTCACCGGCTGCGTCAGATTTTTTACACAGCAAGAAAAAGTGTATGGGAATATAACTTTTAAATTATAATCTGAAGAGAAGATTAATCCCAACTTATTGCAATCATAAAGCTTCAGAAACTAAGGTGAATTTCAAAACAAAAACAACTTAAGAGATATTTTCTTTGCGTGTAGGAAAATTATTCAGCTTTCCCGCAATGCCTTTCCCCCCTGAGATTTCCCAACTGCAGATGCCAAATGCATTAATCATCGATCTCGATCAACGCCTCGCATTCGGATTCGCATCGAATTTGAATGAATCTTCATTGGGTTTTGGTTCGTCATGGAATTTGGTGGGTGGTTGGTTGTCTATCTACGGATCAGGGGATCTCGATGGGGAGACTTATCTTGGCATGACCCACTACAGGGTGACTAGCGACTCGCTGCCTGATTTACGATCGAGATGTTTTGGCTAATTTTTAAAATATATATTTTTTTTAGATTTTTCCTGGAAATGTGTTCAGTAAATCTTGAAAAATGTTTCCACGAAAGGTCTACCATAAATTATGACATTTGCGAGTTTAGTTAGTCAGATTTTTAGGATTTTCCCAAGTGATAAACTAAACTGAACTTAACTTTCCACACAATTTGCTTCCTGAGCTGAAAAACTATTTCTGTAAACTCATGAAACTACATTGTTGTAATGTTTCATCATATTCACTGGTGACATTTCTCAGCATTTTATAGTAATCTTTATTTAGAAATCACTAAAATTGTTTAGTAATCTCATTCGAATTGATTCCGATTTCCCTGTCTGAGTGAGTCATCGTCGTGCCAAACTGATAGCCTTTAACCTCCGGTTAACTGCGTCGACCAGACAAAGAAAACCACTTAACCCACACACATCTTTTGGGCGTTTTCCACCCCGCCGAGTTTCCACTCGAGTATGATGCCACAGATTTTGGTTCTGGCCGCGTCATCGTCATCATCGGGCCTTCGTATATGTATAGAGCCCCGTATATATCCGACCGATCTTGCCACGTCTGCGGAGTGTTTAGAAGGCAATCCCCGGCGCGAGAATTGGCGCGTTTGTTTGCTTTACGGTGGACGTGGTCGTGGTCGTGGACGTGGACGTCTCGGCTTTGGCCTCAGTCTGCGTCCGAGAGCCGTGCGATATTGAGTGCTACGCGAGATGTTCCGGAATTGTCGGGATCGGGATCGTTTGCAGCAGCGCCTCGCGAATCTTTGTCGAAACGAACCTCCCGGCGTTGGCCAGGAAATACCCCTTGAGATAGCATCGAGCCCACCCATTTTCTAGTGAAATTTCCACAACAATTTTCACAATTTGTTTGCGGTTTGTTTTCTCCCCAAAGAAGGAAAAACAAAAAACAAAACGGAAAAGTGATCGTTCGGTGGAAAATCAACAAGCAGAACTGAACTGTATGCGCGGAAAACACGTCATCGCAAGAAAAACAGAGGCGGAAAAAAGAAAAGTGCCAGATTGTTGGTGGGATTGGTGCGGGCAATGTGAAGGATTTTCATCCGTATATTAGTGTACAGCATTTTCCAAAGCGAAAATGATATAGCCAGTGGGTTAGGACACAGCCTGGACCCAAAGACTAAACTCCTATATATAGATATATATAGTTCGATCCTGGAATCTCAAAATGTGCGACACGCGGGCTTTGATCAGCACGAAACAGACCAGCGATCTGCACAGTTGCTGGATCATATATAGTAGGTAGTCTCCAATATCTGTATACCTATATCTGCAGATTCTACCCTCTTTTTTCGAGTGTATGCAGAAGACATTCCTTTCACTTTCGCTTAGCTGGGCAATTCAAAAGCCATAAATATTTATTTAAGAATCTGCAAATGTTTATGGTTAGCCGATTAAATAAATAAGAGCATAAAACTTAAATACTTTTCAAGTGTGCTGGGAACCTCGGAATCCTTAATTCTAAGTCAAATTCCTTTTTCTAAGTCACTCAAAAACTTGTACTTAAAACGTTTTTGGAAACATGTCCTTTCATTGATTTATTTAAAAAAATTAAAATTGTTTTTTGGTTTTTATCAATAAATTTATTTTTAACTCGCACTTTTGACTTTTTAGTTAGTCATCAAAGATTTTTGTTTTCGATTATTTTACATTAGAAAACTGAGTTGAATTCTATCCATATTAAGCATTTTTATTATACCCTTTACTCGTAGACTAAAAGGGTATACTAGATTCGTTGAAAAGTATGTAACAGATAGAAGGAAGCGTTTTCGACCCTATAAAGAATATATATTCCTGATCAGGATCAATAGCGAAGTCAATTGAGCCATGTCCGTCTGTCCGTCCGTCCGTATAAACGCTGAGATCTCAGAAACTATAGCAGATTAAGCATGAAGAATCTTGAGGTCCCGGGACAGCGCAAGTTTATTTTAGCATCCTGCCACGCCCACTATAACGCCCACAAATTAGAGCTAGAAAGTTGAAACTCAGAATGTATAATCTTTAGATGCCAGCGCATCTTTTAGTGGTATTATTATCCGGCCACACCCACTTATACGCCATATACCAAGCTCAAAAGACAGTTTTCGCATTTTCAAGAAAACCTGATATCTAGGTAACTAAAAGTGATAGAATGTTCGGATTAAGCATGTAGGTTTTTATGATGCCCTAAATGCGAATTGATTTTTCCATCTATCCACGCCCACTCTAACGCCCACAAACCGCGGAAAACTGTGGCGTCTATAATAATATTATGAATGCCTTCGTTTGACCCAGTATAACTTATTTCTGTTAATATCTATCGATTTGCCAAAGATTTTTCAAATCGGAACATTATTTCGCTGTTTAAGAAGGAATTTAAGTTATAAGGCCTCACATGGCTCGTGACGTCACTATCAGTTACTCAACATGCTTTCTCCGACAATAGGTGGCGCTTGGTTAATTTCCACTAGCAAAATTTAAAATCGTGTAAAACAGTAACGGGTATCCTATAGTCGCGGCACTCGACTATAGCTTTTCCTCTTATTTTTATTTTATAAACAATTTGTTTTTAATTTTTGGTTTTCTTGGCTTCCATTTAAAATTCAAATTTTGTGGAATTCCAAAATTGTTATATTTTATTCAGTCAAATTATGGTCTTTAATGGTTAGCTTTTACTTCTTGGAATAAGAAGTTATTTCTCAATTTAGCAGTAAAATAAGTTAAAGATCTAAAATTTATTTTATGTCCGTAATATTATTTTATTAAAAATTACCTACAAACTAATTTATGAATTATTTAATAATTTTTAAGTCAATTTCTCTGCTAATTCCTTGATAAATTTCTAAACTAACTTTAATCAAATTTTGCAGCCAGAAGCGATGGTCGCGAGCGACTCACGGTGACGGACACCAGGCCGGTGATCATGACCACAGATCTGACCAACAACAACAGCGGCAGCCACGCCCACTCCAACGGTCTGGGTCGGCAGGCGGCGGATGTGGAGCTGCAAGAGCAGGACCCAGAGTTGATCAACTCCCTGGACGGGGATATGCAACCCGAAGAGGATGAAAACGACGGCACCGAACAATCGCTGGCCGAGATCCTTGATCCTGAGCTGCAGCCAGAGCCACCGATTCCCAACGATGCCGAGTCACAGCTCATCTACCGGGAGCACCGGCATATGGCCAAGGAGTACCTCAGCATCGACACGAACATCTACTACGCGGAGGACTTCAAGGAGAAGCTCATCGTCCAGATGGATCGCTCCGAGCGCGAACAGAAACTGCAGCTGCTGCGCAAAATTAAGGACAAGGTGGGAAACCGTTTTCTCTCTCCACAAAAAAACCAAAAAAATTTCTTAACCTGATTTTGAATTTATTTTTAGGAGGGCCTACAGAGTCTTTATAACAATCTACAGCAGCAGTTCGCTTCCCGCCAACTTTCTGCCGGCCATCATCCGCACCCACATCCTCATCCGCATCCACATCCACATCCGCATCTGCATGGCCAGCAGGAGGAGGGCGGTGGAATGCTGCCTGGATCGGTGACCGGAGGCTCAGATTCCGGGGAAGAAGGCTGGGTGGTCATCCCGCCGCATCCCAATGCGTAGTCTCCCCTTCCGCCGGACCGACTCTCTATGTTTCTTAGGCTAGTGCTGTAACCTTAAATCTGTTAACCATAAACTGTAATCTGTAATCTATAATCCATAATCCGTAATCTGTAAACTGTAATCCATAATCTGTATGTTAGCCATAACACAGTGTTTATTTCTACTTCGGACGCGTTTGTTCGTTTTAAGCGTTCTTTTTTTTTTTAATTTAAATCTAAGCGTTTTTAGTCCGTGTTTCTTTTAACTTAGCAAAACAAAACTATTTTCGCCCATAAGCATTCTCCGAAACTTAATTTAGGTTTTAATCGTACTGTAAAGCTTATATACTTAGCATACAACATATATATCTGTCCGATGAAGCTGACAAGGAGTAGACCAAAAAAATATAAAAACCATCGAAATCAACGACAAAACTCACTAGTCTACTGATTAAAAGTGAATTTAATGCCTAGAAAACTGGAGATAAATATTAAAATGACCCTGTTAAACTTAAATAAATCAAGAAATCGATTTCATTTACCTTTTCGAATCAACATGAGCCCATAAAAAGGGTAAAAACGTATCATTTTGATGTTCTTATTTATTGCCAATGACCTTAAATTCAAGAGAATCCATCCTTTACACACTCTTAAGCCTGAGAGGTCCTTCTGTGTCTCACCGATTTAACAAAGGACATTTCGAAACAATAAATTAAGCAGTATCCTTGATGTAAATCCAAAGGAATTAATGAAGATGAAGATATAATAGTTGAAAAAAAAAAATAAAGATGCGTGATTAAGTTAAGTCGTTTCAACGCAGAAGGACATTCTAGGGCTTTGAGCTAACTTTCTTAGTTTAGTTTATACAAATTAAGTACAAGCGGTCCTACTAGATCTACTTTAACACTATCATTCAACAGCGAATCGAAGGCATATGCGGTCTATACAAAGTAATCACATATATTATTAATAATTTAACATTAACTATAAAAAGTTTCAAAATCGATACGAAGGCATTTACGGTCTAAACATTTTTCGTTGCCGTGCTTGGCACATTGTCGTCACTGTGCAGTCATCACAAAATCTCGCATGTAGGTCTACACTAGCTATGTATATATATCTATATATATATATAAAAATATCATGAGAATCGCTAAATTCGATGGGGAGTAGAGATAGAGGAGACGTGGAGGGATTTTCATCAGCAATTAGTAATCGCACATGGGCACATAGATTGCCACGCACGTCGATTCCCAGACATCGTTGGGCGAGTCCCAAGAGTCCTTTTCGCGCCACCATTCCTTGCTATCCAGATCGTAGGCCATTGTCTCCGCGCTGGCGCGGTCAATTGATTCCGTGGAGTCCAGTCCGCCCACAAAGAATATGGTTCTGCCCATAGCAGTCACGCCCGAGTAGAACTTTGGCGCGGGTATCTGCGTTTCCACGCTCCACGAATTACTTTCGATATCGTAGGCATAGATGTGCTGCACCAGAACTCGCGATTCCGTCAGGCTCTCATGCCATCCGCCACAAGCATAGATCTTATTGTCCACGGCCACCAAAACGTGGTCACAGCAGGGGGTTGGCATCGGTGCCAGCTCCTTCCAGAGTTCAGTCTTCGTGTCGAACACCCACATGCTCGCCAGGATATTGGCCAAGTGGATGCCACCTTAACAGAAAGAGAAAAATCATAAAAAATCACATTCTTAAGGTGTTGGGAGGAAACGTGAGCCTTGCTGCATCGTTTAAAACCAACTTTGCGATTAAAAACCCACCAGAGATATACAGCTTGTCGTCCACCACGACGCCAGCATGCTGACTGCGATTCTCCTGCAGACTGGGCATATACGTCCACACATTCTGGGCGATGTCGTAGCGCTCCACATTCGAGATCATCCGCAGGGCATCTTCAATGTTGTCGTCGTCCAGAATGCCACCAACGGCATACAGATGCTTATTGCCCACAGCATTCAAAGAAAAACGGCAGCGATCCAGCTGAATGGGTGCTATGGTCATCCAGGTATTCCTCAGCGGGCAATAGCAGAAGCCAAAGGGATGGATGTACTCCTTCAGGCAGACATCGTAGGCACCGCCCACGATGAAGAGCTTGTTATTGAGGACGGCGGTGCCGAAGTTGCCTAAAATGCATGAGGATAAAATAGCTGCGTAAGGGTTGGTGTTGGCATTAGTCATAATCTTATGTTTATATAAATGTTAGGGGTTCTTATAAGAAAAGAACCTTTCCTTAATCCACTCACATGGATATTTGATATAACCTCAAGGAACTTACACTGATCGATGTGCGGTATGGCGGTCAACTCGTACCAACTCATTTTGGATGGCGAGAAGCACATTATCACATTGGTCAGTCCCTTCCACTCGAAGCCACCGATCTTCAGCAGGCACATCTCCATGCCCCTCATATTTTTTGGTCCTTGCGGCAGTGATTGATCCTCTAGGGGCACCACTCCGTTGAGAAGTCGCCCCATATATTCCTGTTTTATTTGATTATAGTAAGTTGCGGGCAGTTGCAGTTGTTTTCCCTCGTCCAGCGAGCAGTTCATGCGTCTCATTTTGTCCAGGGACGTATAGCTAATGTGCGGCCAGTTGATCAGTCCCAGCAGATCAGCCAGGGCGCTCTCCTTCAGCTGCTGTTCCATAGCATAGCTGCACACCAGACGCACTAGGTCCTTTTCGGCCACATCGATGGGATAGTTGCTGGACAGGATAAAGCGCAGCTGGTCCACTTTCATTTCCTTGAAGTCCGACGTGGTCGCAAACTCCTCAAAGTGCGCACATATATAGCGGTGTGCCCGCTCGGATAAGTCAATAATTCCGTATATATCGGCCATCCCGGCAATGGCCAGGCAGTTCTCCATTTCGATTTTGGTGCCAAGGAAAAGGGTGCAACGCTCGATCACCTCGCGCACTTGGACATGTGTGGCTGCCGCCAGGATCTCCTCAATATTGTCGTAGTTAAGTTCCAGCATCGAGGTGTATATATAGTCGATGATCGAGCCCATGGCCCTGGCAGTGATCCCGTACAGATTTATCTCATCCTTTCGCGACTCGATCATGGCACAGTCGGCGAACATGGCGCAGAAGTAGTCGCTGCTGGCAGCCAGAACAACGCGGTGAGCCTGTGAAAGGAAATGGTTTTAGTATATAGATTTCAAAAGCATAGATGATCTATGATTCAAGCTTAAACTATTTGTACCTTAAAGTCTTGCAACTCAAAATTCGATTAAGTTATGGAATCTGTACATTAAATATTCAGATACAACGAGCTTTATCCTTTAAAATTCAATAACGATTATCTAATATTCAAGTTGATGTTTAACAAGACATTTGCATACATTTAAATACATGAATTATATCACTAAGCCATTCCCTATTAGGCAATATGAACCAGTTTTCCGGAATTTAATTTATGACTAATTCAGTTCTGAAACGTTTCATTTCATTTCAATATTTTGGGCATATATAAAACTGATTCCGGGAATCCCTTAATTTATATATAGCAAAAGCAAAGAAAATGCGTCATCGCCAGAAAGACATTAATTTCTTGTCATGGATGTGTTTTCGTTTCGTATTATTTAGCAAGAGAAAGTAAAGATGAGCTTTCTGCTGGCTACGATTATCGATTCGCCTACCACTTTAACCCTATAACTAGTCACCTTACGCCGATGCCTCGAACTCTGAATGTGCCATTAACACGAACTTGCCATATTGCCAAACTTCCGAGTCGATCGAACGACCATCCATCCGGTTTAGTTCGATTTCTATTTATCCTATAACCACCATCAGCCACAGAAACTATTGCCATAACTAACCTAGCCTAATCGTAACCCAGTTGCTGTGCCAAATAACTGAATAAAACTTGGTATGTGGCCTCTTTGATCTTTTTCATAGTGCTAAAACCAAACCATGACATGATTAGTTATGGTAATTCAGTGGTTTCCCAAGATATGCTCTATGATTCTTGGTATATCTTTAAATAAAACTAACATATAATTACATGTTTAAGGATATAATGATCATTAAACTTGGTATACGGTTTCTAGAGAAGATCTTAAGCACTCCAAACTATCTCTCGGCAAGATCTATTAGACATGTCCCACTGGCTGAGAGGTGTCTTACCTTAAACTTGTGCTCCTCAACTATCAGAGTGACATCCGTGAGCTTGTCCTCGTTGCGCAGCTTGTTGAGTCCCCGGAGGAGGGTCTCCTCCACGCTGGACAACGGATTCGAAGGAGTTTTACCAGCTGTCGCTGTCGACGTCGCTGCCGGCGTGGCTGCTGGCACTGGCGTCGCTGCCATGTCCGTGGCTTGTGGTTGTACTTATTGTATAGATTTCAGATTAGCAGGGGCTATTAACCTATATGTATAGTATTAACCCAAGGTTGGGGAATCCGTCTGATAAGAATTTATTGCGTTGGATGAGCAAGCGAGTGCGCGAGCGAGTGCAAGCGAGAGGACAGCACTTTGTGTTTACACTCGCGGCCAGCTGTCCACAAACCGTTATTCACCAATGTCCCAAGCTTTTTAGTACAAATTTTCACAAAACAGTAGGAAGTAAAATAACTTCCAAGCAAAAATCGAGATAATGTTTTCGTGTGCGTTTTCTCTGATTGTTGCTGCCTCTCTGCTTCTTTTTTTTTGTTTCGTTTGTGCTTTTCGTCTTTGACGTTTCTTCTCTTGACGTTAGTGTTGCCAAAATAGCTACAATCACTTGATGTGAGCATCTAGCTATAGATTAGTGGCCGCGAAAATTTAAATTTATTATTGCAGAAAATTTTAAATGTTAAGTGAATTGTTTTAATTTACATTTTGGTTGCCACATATGGTTTGGTTGCTACATATGCCGCTAAAATTACTGGGGTGAACACTATTTGTGATATATGTATATTTTTGAAAGGTTATAAGACCATCGTGATAACCAGCCAACCAATACAGGTATTACCTAAACTTTTGATTTACTAATTTACAATTTGTAAACAGCACAGGCTACGAAATTTTCCAGATATATTTTTAACCGACTATCAGCTATTATTCTACTGCCCCAATCAAATGAAAGTTTTAAATATTTTTGCAATTCAACAACCAGGGCTGCCGCACTGTTCTCCGAACGTCTTCTTTGTTGTTAGCTTGTTATCGATAAAAAAGAGACAAATAATTTATCAATCCTAATAGGGGGTTTTGACTCCGCTCAGGTTAAGCAGAAACAGTGATGTAAAATACGAAAATAATGTTGGTATTTAATATTTTTCGATTATTTAGATACCTTGCATATTCGACTTATCTATATAATAACTTTAATAGAGAAGTGGAATATAAAAATATGGATTTGTAGATTAAACATAATATATTACTTTTAAGTCTAGTCAATTTAAAAACCTTTTTTTAAGCCTTTATAATAATCTGAAAAAATATTTCAGCTTGCTTTTCAAACTTGTTAATTTCTAAGTGATTTTAGATCAAAAATATATTATTTCGCCTTAAATCCAGTCAATTTAAAAACCCTTTTTTAAGCCTTTATAATATTCTGAAAAAATATTTCAGCATGCTTTTCAAAATTGTTAATTTCTAAGTGATTTTAGATCAAAAATAAAATTTTTCGCCTTGTGTTTGTATAACGGCTATGAACGGCTATCGGTTTTAGCGGATTAAATATTCATGTTGATCCCAAGCGATTTATTTGTTATAAAATACCACGATATTAACAGTATTTTCTATTAAAAATATCGGCTTTTCTTTTTCACATCACAAGTCGCCTGCCCAGCCCTGCACTCTGTTACTTCTACTCTAGTCTTTATACACTGTTAATAGCCAAAATGCACACATGTTAACGGACTAGTTACTTACTAGGTTTAGACTGCTGCACGAGTCACCCTGTGGACCAGTTTTGAAACTTCAACTTAGTGTTACCATATTCAATGTGTCCGTGGATTTTTTAAGACATTCACAAAGTGCCGTGAGGGCTCATTCGCTATCCGGTAACACCGCGATTTCGCTCTGCTCTCTCTCTACCACAGGTTGGGTTTGGGAAAAACTTTTAGCCTTTTAGCCGCGGTGATACATAGCAGTGCAGTGAAAATTACCTAAACTAAACGCTAATGAATAGTTATTAATCGAGCGAAATTAAGCACAATTAGAGGAGCGCGCGCGCGGTCGCTTGACGATGAAATAAAATTAACGCAGCGTAAGTGCAGGCGACAACAACAACAAACGTGTGGCGTGAATTTTTTTCTTGTGAAAAGGAAAAGGCGAAAAGTGTTGTAAAAAAAAGTGAAAAGCAAGCGATAAAGGAACAGGCAACCAAACATAAAAAAAAGTATTTATGAAACGAAGGAAGGCAACAAAAGAAAATGCAAATAATAATCGGCAAACATTTTATATTTTACTAAATAAAATAATTTACTCTATTTGTTTGCCGCCGCCGACGAAGACGCCAAAAACAACAACAACAAAGAGAGCAACAGTCGGAAGAAGAAGAATAATAAGCAGCAGCAGCAGCGGAAACAACAACAAAAAGCAATACAAAATGCAACGTGCAAGAAACTGAGATTTTTTACTCAGTCAATTTTTTTTGTTTTATTTTTTTTGCACAGGCCACATTTAAAAATTGTCGCGTTGTTGTTTTCTTCTCCCTCTCTCTTTCTCGAACGCTGCAACCTTAAAGAAGAAGCAGAGCAATTACGAAAGGAAAGAAATGAAATGAAAAAGAAAAGAAGCTGTGTAGGTGTGTGTGTGCGTGTGTGGTATGTGCGTGCCTGAGAGTGTGTGTGAGCGCGCCACATGAGGAAATTGCCAGCAGCGACGCTGGCTGCTACGTCGGCAGCGTGTAGAACCCAAAAAAATAAAGCAAAACAAAAAAATGAACCCAAAAAATAATCCACAAAGAAAACATAAAAAAACACAGTAGAGGTCACCATATTAGCATATAATGCATGTGTCTATCCGAAAAGTGACAAGTAAATTATTTCAAAGAACTTGAATTTGCAATTTCAAAACTGATCTATAAAAGAAATGATTTGAACATCTTAAAAAATAAAACATAACATTTTTCCATGTTATTAGAGAAAAGTGTATTTTGTTTTGACCCTCAACTAGATTTATCAAATTCCAATTGTAGATAAACATCAAGGTTTTTAGCAGTGCTATTAGTTTGACCGCAGCTGTATGTTTTGTTTTTGTTGCCTGCCACTGACTCACGTTTCATTGATAAGAAGAAGAAGAATTCGAGGGAGAAAGAGGGAAGATAATCTATGGGAAAAATAGGAAAAGGATTGCGGAATGTCCTAAAATAAACAAACAATAAATCGCCTTATCAGCTCTACAATTTTGTTTGTGTTTCTCTCTAGTTTGCAAAAAAAAAATCAACGATAACTTAAATATACTAAAAGAAGAAGACAAGGAAATCAAGAAACAACAAAATACTTGGTTAAAAAGGCAGGAAACAACGCAAGAAAAATAGTCTTTCTTTTTTCTTGGTAAGTAGCAAACACTTTTTGTTAATTTCAAAATTAATTTGAAAAATGTTGTGTAAATCTAAAAATTAAAACTTCTCTATCTTCCTTTTGTTCCCTAATTCTCCCATTTCCCGTTATACGCAAGCAGCGAAAGTTGTCTTCCGGCTTTTTAGTTTTTTTTTCCGGGCTCCCTTTTCTCTTTTATGAGGCTTCTTCTTCTCTTTTCCTTATATTTTGCTTTGAGAATTCTTCGGAATCGGCAAGATTTCGCAGATATCTTATGATCATGTAAAAAAAAGGGTTATTAGATCTACAACTTAAGAATTACTTTTGCTTTTATCAAATACAAAGAATATAAATGTAATAATATATATTAAAACCCTTTAAAAAAAAGTTTTATTTTCCAATTACTAAAACGTATAAATAACTATCATTAGGATTTAAATAATTGCCCAACGGAAAAGCAACTTGATAGGTTATAAAGTTATTGGCAAGCAAAGACCACCCATAGATAATTTTTGGTGAAAAGCCTGTAATTTGCCTTCAATACTCAATAGGCTGCAATTTTCCAGCTCAAATACGCAGCAATTTTACAATTTTCGCAGCGAAATGATCGGACACTTTCGCCCAGCGTTTTTACCCTTGGCTCTTTGCATTTGAATACCGTTGACATTGCCCTGAACTTGAGGACAATGGGCAAATAAACCGTTAAACAAATAAAAAGATAAACAAACGAAACACACGCACATTTGCAGCAAATGGTAAAAGTCAATAGATAATTACGTATAATGAGCAAAGAATTACGTTGCCCAATTGGCAATTATTGCAACAATAGTTAAGTCCATTACGTGTTTCCCCCCCCCACTCTCCATACTGGCCAATAATAACGGGCATTTCGAATTCGAACCGAATCACGAATCGTAAGAAAACTCAACTTTATTCGCCGGACTTTGGTTACTGTTACTGTTATTACCACTCCATGGGTTAATGTTTTTTTTTTTCTTCTTTTTTGTATTTTGTTTTTTGTGTCTTGGTCAACACGCAAGAAGCAAAAGTAACACAAGAAAACCGAGAGGGGAAAAGAAATAAAAACAGCAACAAACTGAAATTACATAAAACCTTGAAGTTACACGGCAAGAAATGTTATAGTTAAGTTTGCTTCAAAGTCAGCTAAATCAGCTGTTTTTGAAGAACACATTAAAGAAATTTTTGAATTTTTAAAGAGCGTTCATTATTATTCAGTGATTTATGTGGTAGGAAAGCCATGAAGATCTGGAAGTCTGGGAAATCGGTCTATAATGATTTTTCCAAGCTGTTTCGTCTGGAAATCTTAGGTATTAACACAAAAATTTAGTGTCCAATTATCTTCCGATTAAAGAGTACATTTTCTCATATCACATCATTCTTATAATCACATATATATATATATTGGGTCTGAAAAAAGAATCTTTAACCCTTTGAAAGATTTCTATGGGTATCTTCAATCATTCATCTTTAGACTGTTTAGCATGATATACAAATCAAAGCTAATTATTTCTTGCAGTGCAGCAACGGGGTTGGGGGCCTGGGAACCGCTGTCCTCACCATCTGCCTCAACTTTAAGCCTGATGGAAGCGGCCCGAGCACGAGCCGCCTTAACCCAACGTGGGGCAAACGAACTCAAGTCCGAGCCAGGCAGGCAGGCCGCTTGATTAACCTTCTTTTTTATTACAATATTTTCGTTGACTCTTTTTCGTGTGCTTATTGTTTTTGTTTTGGTCGTGTTTTCAAGGCGGCCACGTTCGGGATGGGAAATTAAATGCACTGCAAAACTCAAATAAAAAATACTACAAAAACGATATATATAAAGAGAATGGATGTCGGGGGCTAGATAGGATCTCGGGGGTTAAACCGAAGAGAACAGAGTTCAAGGGAAGAGATGTGGTTACAGCTGAATGGGCCTCACTTCGCCACCAGTACAGTGGGCATCGAAAAGGTCTCGTATTTAATTGGGCAAACTTGTATTTATTACCCAATGAGCTAAAGTACTTTAAATTGGGGTTTACACTTTATAAAAACAAAAAAAAAAAAAACAGTAAAATACCTTGTTTTACAAGTTTTGTAGGGTTAAATATTCCCTTTTAAAATTTATATCTTATAAAAGTGATTTATAATTGCAGTTACAGAATTTTTAGTTTGTTATTGCCCTTAAAGTGTGACTTAGACTTTGCAAAAAAAAAAATCCATTTAATTAGGTGGAAAATCAAGTTTTCCTCGTTGGGGGTGGCGCATATTAGCGGATCATTAAGTTTCCTTCGTGTTATGCATTTTTATTCAAATGCCATTTTGCATTTTGCAACACCCCATGAGCCATAGACTTTGTTTTTATTTATTTACTTGTTATTTCCCCTTTTTTTTATTTTTATTTTTTGCAATCTATTAGTCAGTTGTTTTTGTTGTTGGTTCGTCGGTTAATTAAGCTCAAACATTTGTCAACAGCTTGTCGTTGTCGTTGTTCTTTTTGTTGCTTTGTTGGGCTTTGTTGCAAGTCGCGTGAAAATTACAACGTTATACAATTTAAATACTAGAATTAAGCACTTGTTATTGTTGTTGCCGTTGCCGTTGCCGTGCTCGTTGTTGCATGACGAGAAAGCGGCGGGAAAACTAGCTAGCTAGATGACATAACCACCACCCCCCCAGCATAATGTGTGTACTAATATTGTCCGGATGAGATCACAAGCAAAGAGAGGCTGGGCGAAAGTTCTAATAAGTTTTATATTCACTTTGTTTTTGTTTGGCTTTTAAGAGACGACGTTTACTCGGGGCGGGGCACTCCCTGAAATGTTAACAGGTCTGGTGATAATCTCACACCCAATGTTTAAAATCAATGTTTTTGTTTGCATCGCCGATTAAGCAAATACAGCGCTATCATTGCATGTACATTTTTTTTGCCCTACTCCAGATTTGTTTTTACTCAAAAAAAAAAAAAACAGAAAAAAAGAATGCCAAGGTCGTTGCTTATTATTATTCACTGTCTTCGGGCTGCGGACTCTCTTGTTCTTCTCGTTTCGCGATAACAGAAGAGTAAGTAAGTTTCTAATGAAATGACAGAAACTTTGGAACGTGGAAGTGCGGCAAAATAACAAGTGCGACGACGGCAGGCAATCGAATTTGTTAGAGCAAAGCAAACGAGTTACCACCGCCCAAGTACCAAGTACCACCACCCCCCTTGATTTTTGTGTTTTTTAGTTTGCCTCAAGAACCGGAAATGGGGCCAACAAGAACAAGAACAAGAACTCGCCAAGCGTTACACAAAAATATTTAACATATTTCCCTCGTGTTGATATTTGCGCTATATCTTAAAGCATTTTATCGGCTGCCCAGTCACATTGCATTCTAGAACTATAACTTTGGATTTAACTACTACTTTAGCTATAGCTTTAGGTATTACTTATGGATTAAGTAACACAGCCATTGATATAGAAGCTAGAAATATCAAAGTAAATATTATGATTACCTTACTTGAAATGGAAACACTTCCTAAGGGGTTTTTGTCTGATAATTCATATATTTATTTCCGATTTTCAGTGGTATTATTACCTTGAATTGATAATTCTGAGAATTGGAGCACTGCGTTGATCTGCTATTTGTCGCCCCTCGAATCGCTTAATATTTAAATTAATGTTAATATTAATATTGACCGACAAATGGGAAGTGCAAACAAATTGAAATCGTCGTCGTTGGCGCAATTGTCTTGCCTTATCATCGCCGCCTGGCCGAAAGCAAACAAAGGCCAATTGCAAAAACAGGCGGACGACACTTGAAAAATGAATTGAGCAAGCAAATTGCAGGGGGTGTATGGGTATTGGTATGGGTATGGTTATAGAAATGAATATGGATCGGGGACTGGAGATTGGGTATTGGGAATTGGAGAAAGGAGAGAGGGTGCCGCTCTGATTGAGGATTGGGTTGTTTACCAGTTACCAGTTACGAGTCCGAATGAATCGGACACCTTTCGTGTGTCCTCGCAGTTTTCAGGTTGCTCCGCAGCAGGTAAAAGGGTGTCTAGTGATTGGGCTTTGTCCACCTTGTGATTACATTTCACGCCCCAATCGAAAAACCAAAGACCGGAAGAGTTGAAAAGGAAATGCAGCAGGAAGCCGTCCGTCAGCCAACTGGCACTGAATCACTGAAAAAAATATTCAATCTTTCTGTTTTTAATTCATAAATTAATCCTTAAATTTATTTAAATAACTGAAGTTATAAACCAATGAACAGTTTTAACTTACAAGTAGGTTTAAAAACGAATTTAGAAATGGAGTTTCCAATAAGCATAGAAATGAATTCTTCGTTTTCTATATTTTACCTTTAACCCTCTAATAGAAAGTGTTTTTATAAGTAATTGGCTCTTGTTGTTTATTAACGTGTAGACAGAATCCAGATTCAACTCAGGTTCAGACTCATCAACGTCGCCATTATCAACTCGAGCGTTGTGATTATCCTGATGATTGTGGCCCTGCTGCTGCTGCTGCTGTCATTTTATCTCTGGCCTCTGTTTTAGGTGGTTCGGGTTGCTTGGTGGGTGGTTGGATAGATGGGTGGTTTGGATGGTTGCCTGGCTTCTGTGGTGTGGGGGTGGTGGGTGCTTTCGACACGTGCGACGGGCGTTAAGTGGGCGGCTATGTGCTATCTTTCGGCCTGCCAGCCGTTTCCTCTTATCATAAAACAAAGGCGGGAGCACAGGGAAAAACAACATCAGTGTCTAAGCTGTCATGGGTGAAAACTAGGAGAGTACTCTAATATTTGATACCCTATAAATGTATTTTATATAACTAGGTTAATCAATTTAAAAACTCTGTGCTAGTGCTTAGTTTTAAAATTACAAATATTTCAAAGTAAAGAAAGAAAGAATTGAAAAACAAATTTCGAAATTTCAGCAACAGATCTTATAATAAATTCTATTAAATCGAAATTTTTAGGGTATAAAATTTATATAAAAAACACAAAAAAAAAGGTACAACACTCAGACAAACTGAACAAAC